TATATAGATAACGTTTGATATACAGAAAGTAAGGCACAGTGGCAAACGTTCTCTCATTACAAAGTGCCGTACGTTTTGGGACTATGAGAATAACTGTTGCCAACAGTCTGAGAGACCTGATTTCTCGATGCTTTGAAAACATTCCCAAAAGTGCATCTCAAATGAGGTGGGAACTGTGCTTAATAAAAATCAAATATCTGCAACATATTGGTACAAAAGAGAGAATAAAAAAGGTAAAAATGAACTCCTGAAATGAATAAGATTAACCCTCGCAGTGGGGCTACCTCCTCACTGCAAACATGTCTAGGGACTCAATATAGCAGATACACTCACCTGATCGTCAGTCCTGTGGCGGCGACTGATCATCTCTCTCCTTCTCCACTCCAGGTGTGGTATGTCCCTCAGCATCCTCACGTCTAAGGGACCTGCATTAGATGTGAAGACATCATGGGTTCTTTAGACCGCTGAAGCCTGGAAGAAAAGAGGCTACAGAGACCAGTCTAGCAGCAAGGCAGGATCAGGTGAGTATATCCGCTTTATTTGAGTCACCTAGGCCAAAACAAGCACTGAAGCCTTGCAGTGGGGTGGGGAGGGGGGTAGCCCCACTGCAAGGGTTAATTTTAATAAATCCTGAAGTTCCTTTTTAAAGAAGTCTAAGGGGGTTGTTCACAAAGCAGCCGAAAGATATAGCCGTAGCTTCGGGAACCGAAGGGCTGCTGTACAAGCTATTTACAATAGCCCGTACAGCAGCCGAGCATATGAGCAGCCGAGAACGCATATGCTTCGGCTCGGCTGAGCCGAAGTCACAGCTGAAGTGGGGAGAACAGTCTGCGGAAACAGACCGTTCTCACCGCACTAATGTGAACACATTGTTTTTTTAAAAACGGCGCGGTCACCCTCTCGATTCATACCAGGCCCTTGAGGTCTGGTAGGGAAGTTAGGAGGGACCCCAAGTTAATGTTTTGTTTTTTTAAAGTGTGTGGGGGGGGGGGAAGTTGGGTCCCCTTTAAAATACCCAACCAGACCCTTAATCCGGGTACAGGCCTGGCAGGGCAGGCAAGGGCCACCCCCCTCCCTGCACCTTACATTGGGAGAGTGCTCAAAAATTAAAAGAGAGAAATAAAAATCCCATGGCAGGTAAAGCAACTTTCATGCATTTCATCTGTGTATTGTGCTGTTTGCCTGGATTTCAGATTTAATATTCTAAATTTGTGCAACAGGAATCACCCTATTTTCTTATAGACGTAATTACCGTATATACTCGAGTATAAGCCGTCCCGAATATAAGCCGAGGGTGGGAAATGAGGCAGCTACTGGTAGATAGATACCAATAAAATTACATTAATATTTATTTAAAAGAAAAATAACCTAGCTCTGTAAGTGGAAAAGGGGGTACAGGGCTACATATCATGTACTACGGATCATTTAACCCATTCATGTTAGCAGAGGATCATTGTAAATGTATTGTCTGCACTGTATTAGCAGTATATACTCCATATAGAGTATATACTGCTAATACAGTGCAGACAATACATTTACAATGATCCTCTGCTAACATGAATGGGTTAAATGATCCATAGTACAGGGCTACATATCATGTACTACGGATCATTTAACCCATTCATGTTAGCAGAGGATCATTGTAAATGTATTGTCTGCACTGTATTAGCAGTATATACTCCATATAGAGTATATACTGCTAATACAGTGCAGACAATACATTTACAATTATACTAACCTGAATGGATTAAATGATCTGTATGTAGCCCTGTACCCCCTTTTCCACTTACAGAGCTAGGTTATTTTTCTTTTAAATAAATATTAATGTAATTTTATTGGTATCTATCTACCAGTAGCTGCCTCATTTCCCACCCTCGGCTTATATTCGGGCCGGCTTATACTCGAGTCAGCGCCAGGTGTCATCTTACTTACCTCGCCGAGCGTCGCGTCACTGCTGCTCCGGTGGGCGGCGCTCCGAGCGGGGTCATCTGGCAGTCTCCGGGTCCTAATTTAGGTGGCCGGAGACTGCCAGATGACCCCGCTCGGAGCGCCGCCCACCGGAGCAGCAGTGACGCGACGCTCGGCGAGGTAAGTAAGATGACACCTGGCGCTGACTCGAGTATAAGCCGAGGGGGGCACTTTTCACCCAAAAAAATGGGCTGAAAATCTCGGCTTATACTCGAGTATATACGGTAAGACATTTTTAATCAGTAAACACAAACTGTTTTTAGATACATCTTGACAAGGTTAACCCTTTCAACACCATTTAACCATCTATTATTTATTGTCCCTAAATTATAATTCTTATCCATCTACTGTCATATACACACAAAGCTATGTGAAGGGAATCAGTGAAGGTGGCAGTGAAGGTGTGTATATGTCTGATCTGGTCACTTAGCTCATAAAAGGACAGATGCCCAGCCACATAATCTAGATACACTCGGAATCTTTGTCCCTGGCCGAAATTTCCAAGGAGAGAGATTTCCTTATCATTATGTCTCACTTTATAAGTGTAGCCTGCTTTATGTAAACCCCAAGATTTATTGTTGGAACCAATCCATGATTTTGACCCCTCTCGGGCTATACTGCTATAGGACATCCCTATAATCCAGTAGTTTGACCTCTCAGTGTCAACATCCCAATAACATTGTCCCCCAAAACTCTCTAAACTCAAGACCTGAGCATTGTGCTTGAACCTCTGTGGGCTTTCATAGCAATGGTTGTCCTGGTTGTTCTTGCAAGCGGATTTGTAGTCGTTTGATAACAATACGTTGTTAGACGCTGTATTTGCATCCAGTGTTATATTGGTTATTTCATGTATCTGAAGATGTTTCTTCATATCATTCAGAATATTGCAGAATCCTATGTGTAAATGTTCTGAAACCAGGCCCTCATCTAATTTTCCAGCAGAATAAACTTGATCATCTGTTATATTGTCCTCATGTTTTTCTACCTCATCCATGTCGGTTTCACATGCTTGTAGGACACTTAAGGGATCAGTCATTTCACACAGCTCCTCGGTGTCAGCGATCTCCTTTGCAAGGTCTTCCCGGTCTTCTTCCAGCTTCTGGATCAAATCACTAACTGACTTTAATGCATTTTCTTCCTGTGTTGAGATCTGACTCATGGCTTTCTTCTCTAACTCATCCAACTGTTCCCTGATGTTTTTCAGCAGGGCGGCAACTTTCTCTTTCATGTTAGCTGCAGTTTCCGGCACCGTTGTCTTGGTCTTCTGTAGAGTTTGCAGCCTCCCCTCAGTTTTCGTCTTGCTTGAGGTCAGTTGCTCCAGGACTTCCTTCAAGGTCTCTTTCATTTTAACAGCAGCCTCTGGCAGAATCTCTACTGGGTGGCCTTTGTGGTCTCCAACCAAGGAGCAAGACACGCAAATGCAGACATTATCATCAGAGCAGAAATATTTAAGGATCTCATTATGGACAGAACATTTTTTGCTCTCCAAGGAGGTAGTGGGGTCTGTTAAGATGTGTTCTGCTGACTTGCTGTGGACCCTCACATGATTATCGCACAGTGAAGCTTCACAAAGCACACAGGTTTTAACAGCCGGTACTTGAGAATGAATACAATAATTGCAGAGGATCCCAGTCTGCTCTTGCTTCGGCTGAGTAGAGAGTAAGTGATCTGCTATATGACGGAGAGAGATGTTTTCCTGCACTGACGGTTCTTCTTGAAATCTTTTTCTGCATCTTGGACATTTGTAAACTCCAGAAGGCTTTTGGGTTTCCAAGACACTCGTGATACAGACCCGACAGAAGCTGTGTCCACATCTCAGCGCTACGGGATCTCTGTAAATGTTCAAACAGATGCAGCAATTCAGCTGGTCTAGCAGTGCAGAAGTATCCATGGTTGAAAGCGGTGATGTGGAACTCTCAGTGAAAATGCCACCTTTTATCTTTTGTACAGGGTGTGTATTAATAACCATAAAAATGGACTTGTAAACTTTGTGTGCGAGTTATAGATTAACCATATAATGCTGGAACTATAGGATAAACAGAAATACACAAGGCATAACAAACATTTTACGGTCTTGGGATGCATACTCTGGGTTGCTACACTGTCAGTGAACATGCCTCTTTTTATATTTTGGTACTGAAAAGAAGTGGAATAAAAGAGCCTGACCGACAAGGTTTATCCTATTGGTTTATCCTATCTCGCTGCTAAAGAGCTCTGTGCATTCCCACACTGGACAAAATGATATCCAATTTCAAGCCATCACAGTCCTGACATGGCTGGATCTGCATAGAAGTGATCTCGACGAGATCACTTGTACAAAACAAGGCTAAATGTATAAAACAAATACCCACCCGGCGCCCGGAAACTTTATGTCCCAGGCATCGAGAGATAGAAATCCCACACCCCTGCTGCCCCTCTACTCCGTGCTGCACTGAGGCTGGGCCTCTGTTGGCCTTGTGGGAAATACGGCCGAGTCCTGATGCATGCTCTTCCTTAGTAAGCCCTGATGAAAGGGGTTGTTTGTATGAGATTCCGAAATGCATTGCATATTTATATACTACAGCAAAACGTTTCCCAGCACACTCACCAGCCAGCATGCAAAAAAAACCTGTCTCACCGCTAAGGTTAAAAACAGAGGTTTAGATACACGTCTTCTGCAGAAAATGTGAAAGCCGCACCGCCTCGCCAGGCACCTCCATATAGTGCGGTCCTAACTCTAAACTATGAGAGTCTCCATCTTGGAGTACATGTGGCAAAAGATAAAATTGGGTGCAGGTTTGTCAGGAGGAAGCCCAACCTCCTTAAAGGCACAGGAACACACAAGGGACCCCGCACATCACAACATGTGCACCTTGCTTAGAGCTGGTTACAAATTGATGAGTGCGTTTGGCATTTGTTTTGCATATTTATATACTGTCCCCTCAACTCTACATTGAATAAAGATGAATCAGGACTATTAAACGCAGTGTGGCGCTTCAATTCACAATCCTGCCTTTTTTATATTTTGTACAGGGCGCGTACCATGAAGATGGACTTTTGAACTATGAACGTGAGCTATTGATTAACCATATAGTCCTTGAGCTACACGATAAACAGAAACACACAAAGCAGATTAAAATGTGCTTGTCTTGGAAGGTATTTGCTGGGTTGTTTCACCAGTTACCACCAATGTATTGTGACAAACTGCCCCTTTGGGTCCAGAGGAGTGTCATGTGTTTTATGGGATAATCTGGTGGTAATTGTAAGGGTTGTTTAGCAGTATTCTTCTCTGGGATGAGCAGTGTAATGGCATGTAAAGATGGCCAAACACTGACCAAATGTCAGCCAAGTCCTGCTGATTCAGCTAAAATTCAACCAGTGTGTTGCCCTGTTGGGACCTCCCCATCTGACATACTGTAAGTAGGTTGTTGAAAAATTCCAAAATCCAAACACTTTCAGCCAAACAGTGGGCACAGCCAATTAGCAGCTGTCAAAATACAATAGCCCTTTGGGAGGGTTCCTTCACCCACACTGTTAGCAATAATGGGTGAATTGAGAGTTTCAAGAGTGAAACTGTATGCAGGTTGTACCATAATAGACCAGTACTGTGTCACAGCCAGAAAGGAGGCTCAATGTTTTGTTGTGTACTGGATTGTGAAGGAATCTTTATTTTATTTTTAATGCAACACTGACAAACAAGCATGGGCAGGAAGCCCTTAAACGCACTTTGAAGTCTAAGCTACCTCTCTGCAAACCACACATTTGAAGCTGACCACGACAATTGGTGGAGATATGCAAAGGGAAAAAGTCGATCCCCCCCCCTAAAAAACTAGTCATGAACCATGGTGTGTACATGTTGCTGAAGTGCCATTGAGCTAAGAACTGTGAAGTGTGTGTCAGCAGTAATTTAAAGGGACAGTGCACCATTTTGCTGAATCTGTAAAAACCACATCTTGTATTCTGGAGAAAAACTTAATGGCCACCTTGCTTGCTGAAAGCAGACTGTGTTGTTGAAGGTGCCGCCTATACCACCTAAAGGCACGGTACACTGCACTGCCATGTACATATGGAGGCAGGGCCGGATTTACTCTCTCTGCTGCCCCAAGGCCAGGTTCCTCAATGCGCCCCCCTCCTACCAAACCACCACCCCCCATGGAGAATGGCAGGCCTGCAGGCTGCATACAAGTGATCTCGGCGACATCGCCGAGATCACATGTTCAAAACAAGCGGCGGCTTCCCCGCTGTACATTTAACTCTGCTTGCCCAAAGCAGGGCTAAATTTAGAAACCAACTACCTGCCCTGCGCCCGGAACTGCATGTCTCGGGCATCGGGAGATAGGAATTCCACACCCCTGCTGCCCCTCTACTCCCTGCTGCCCCAAGGCCGGGCACAATGAAGCTTCACAATGCACACAGGTTTTAACAGCCGGTACTTGAGAGTGAATACAATAATTGCAGAGGAACCCAGTCTGCTCTTGCTTCGGCTGAGTAGACAGGAAGTGTTCTGCTATATGACGGAGAGAGATGTTTTCCTGCACTGACGGTTCTTCTTGAAATTTTTTTCTACATTCGGGACATTTGTAAACTCCAGAAGGCTTTTGGGTTTCCAAGACACTCGCGATACAGACCCGGCAGAAGCTGTGTCCACATCTCAGCGCTACGGGATCTCTGTAAATGTTCAAACAGATGCAGCAATTCAGCTGGTCTAGCAGTGCAGAAGTATCCATGGTTAAAAGCAGTGATGTGCAGGGGGGCGTGTCTGCGTCATGATGACGGGTGGACCGGTCTAAGATTGCTCCATACAGGCTCCTTCCATGAAAGGTCTCAGACTGAAACGAACCGTCGTGTCCGTCCCCTCATCTCTGAGATTACAACTTGGCGTCTCTCCTTCCTCTTTGTGTGAGCCTATGCTGATAGTGAGTCTCAGCCTACAGCAGTAAGTCGGAGCCAGCACTTATTGAACATAGTCAGTATGGGGAGACGGCGGCTGCATGTGGGACCAAGCTCAGCGCCCAGAGCAGGTCCAATGAAGAGATTCCTAACCGCAGACAAAGAGAGTTCTGGGGGCATCTGGAGTGGGAGAGGAGCAACAGAATCAGAATCTTCATTCAAGTGCCCCAGGTGGGGTAGAGGGGAATGGCTCTACAGCTGTATCATCATGCTCAGACCTATATGGGGGGTCTATGATACTGCAGAGTTCATTAGGATTTCCCCTACCTTATTTATTAGTTATTAGAGAAAATGTTCTCACGCTTGGAAAGTACAGTTAAAAATTAACTTAGTACAATAAAAGAGAATATCTCACATGTTCAGTCACGAGTAGAGGACACTGCACCCACCTTGATCAATATGCAGTAACTATTAAGGAGTTGTAAGAGAGTAATAAGACCCTCCAGCTTAATGTCCGTTCATTGATATACCGAACTGAACAGCAGGAAAACCGCCACCGCAGGAACAATGTCCTGGTCCGTGGGATCCCCGAAAAGAAAGTGTATTGGTGTCAATACCGCAATCTATTTTTAATAACACATTGAGTAGAGAAGCCACCTCCCCCTTATGTTGGACCGTGTCATATGTGCGCAATAGCGCTACGGACCTGCCACGAGACATTGTTTGTAGCTTTCATTATTATACAGATAAAGAAATTATGAGGAAAATTCGGAATAATGATTCAGTTACATATAAAGGAGTATCGTTAAAAATCTTTCCTGACTTAGACGTGAAACTATAAAAAGGAAGAGTGTTTCGACCACTGCTGGAGAGATTGCATGCTAATTCCATTGTATATCACTGGGGGCTTCCATCATGCTTGATAGCTGGCAAGAATGGGAAGTCTGTTGCGTTACGCTATTCTCATATACACACTCATATACACACATGCACACACTACACAAACACTTACACATAAAGGTTGAACTCGATGGACCTGTGTCTTATTGCAACCTCAAATACTATGTAACTACTACATGTGCCCCTGATAGAGACTACAAGCAGCCACACTGAAATAAATTACATAGGCATGGTCCACCATCACTACTGGTTTTCAACTGTGGACACTGGAGCGAGTGCATGTAGACAGGAAGTAGTAAAAAGGGGCTGAAGGAGATCAGCAGCACTGAGAAATTTAGGAAATTAAGTTGAAAACAATATTTTATGAAACAAAAAAAAAGAATGGCAATTTTTTAATGATACACAGTGCTTTATCGGATTAAATTCCATTCTGATAGGGTTTTGATCTAATTTTCTTATAAAACATATTCGCTTCTAGAGAACTTTCAGCTTGCTATGACGGACCCAGGCTGCGCCTCCATTTACATACAGTGCAGAATAAAGGGGCTCTGTAAAACATTCAATGCACTTCTACAAAGTGTGGTCCCTAACTCAAATCATCTGAGTTTTCAAATATGGCACATACTGTATATAGCAATACACTGAGAGTAGACTTACCTCAAATTAGTCACATCCTCCACATCGACCCTTCTGAAGCCCAACGTCACTCATACATCATTCCAAACCTTCAGCCCCAGGATTAACTTGTCAGAATTCCCCAATATTGCTTTCTGGGACTGGCACTTTGTTCATTTACAACATGGCACAATCTGAATGTGTGATCTTCTTCTTGCTTTAGGAGAATGACAATGTTCAAGTCAGCTGAGACTTTTACATGAGAGGCTACAGGGATTGAACTATAGCTTTGCTATTTTAGACTCTAGACCTAAATGAGCTCCTAACCCTTGGAGCAGCGCAGCGGAAAGGGTTCATTTTTGTTCTTCCCAGAAGTCTTCTTTAAGTGTTTTTATAAAATGTTTTCTTGCATGTGCGCTTTTTACACAAGTATGTTCTTCCATATTGTATTTGTAAGATATAAATAAAGTAAATAAAGTTGTTGTATCCTTTATTAGGACTGTGTATTATTTATAGTGGTGCAGATAATATGGTATATAATAGGAAGGAACGTGTTTGGATAGAAGAGTACGTTATATTCATATGCAACATTTCATATTTGCTAAACTTGCTCAACTCAAAAATTATAATAACTCTTTATATTATACATTACTTGCAAGTTATTTAACGAGTCCCTGTCCTTGTGGATCTGGAAGAAATGTCAGTTTTAACCTTCTACTAAAATGTCCCATTATACTGTACATCCCCCACACAGCTACCTCCTCATGTATCACTGGCCCCTCCCTTTTAGTTCGTAAGCCCTCAGGGGAAGGGCCCTCCTTACCATCTTGTCTTGACTTGTATTGTGATTGTAATGTCTTCCTTATATCGTAAAGCGCTGCACAAACTGTTGGCGCTATATAAATCCTGTATAATCATAATAATAATATGGTGTTTTTAAAAAATCACTTTCCAAATGAGTCTTTTTTGTGTCATATATGATTTTTATTAAATGTTAACACACTGCATGACGCATAAGCAAGAGCAGAGAAATAAGAACAGAGAAAAAGCCAAACATAACTCTATCAGCAAAATAAATGTCACACAGGCTGTATCCTAATAGACATTAGGGCTACCAGGACTGGCATCCGTCCACTCAAAGATCATTTTCCTGACGACACACACTCTTGTGTGCATTCAAGTTCCAAATTGCTTCCCTTCCTGCCAGGTCCACCCAGTGTTCCTAAAGCTGGCCATACACTGATAGAATTTAGTTTGATCACGTGTTTGAAATCAATTCATCGGAGCATTCAATCGTGTCTTTGTTGAGTCAACTAATTTAATTTGAAAGACCTTACCATCTTGTCAAGACCTGCTACTTGAATGGAATCCTAGATGTATTAAACAGGTTTCTTTTGTGCCTAGTAAATGCACAATACAATATCTACAATTTTTCCCGGGAAGTAAATTACATTCACGGTTAGAATTTTGTTTGTTCAGATGAGAAAAATGTTCCATCCAGCTCCTTTGATTTCTCTTGTCACTATGGTCGAAAATGAACGTCGACTAGACCCCACTAACCATTAGAAAATTGAACCAACGTTCCGAAAGTGAAAACGTTCAGACTAAATTCTACTGGTGTTTGGCCAGCTTAACTATGAAACAATATACAGTTGGCTTTGACTGTTTTTGTTTTCAATATTCATGCTACCTTTCAGTAATCAGCTGTGGAATATGAGCAGCTTTGATGCCTTGTATTAAAGGAGAACTTTGAGGTGAGTGAAAATCACTCATCCTCATAGTTCTAGCCGAAGTGTGACAATGAAACTGTCACAGGTCGGCTCAATATATCGGGAAGTGAGCGAACACATACCATTGTTCACTTACTTCTCGATCCTGTCCCTACAGAGAGCCGTGACTGTCATTCACGGCTCCCCCCCCCTCCCCTGTCCGATCCTCCAGGGATGGCTGGAGGAACGAACGGGGGAGGCGGCAGGCACAGCTGGCTCTGCCTCTAGATAGGCAGAGCTCGCTGTCAATCACGCAGCTGGGCGGATCTCGACAGTAATGTCGGGAACCGTCCCGGCTGCGGCGGTCTCAGTATACCGCGAGCTGTAGCACGCGGTATACTGAGCTTTGGGTCACTGGAGGACGTTAGTATATTTCCTCTCGTGACCCTGCAGAGAACTATGGGGAAAAACACTTACCCCGTAGTTCTCCTTTAAGTTGCCAACTCCATGGTAAAAGGGTACATACATTTGAGAGCTCTGGGCTCCTAAGATTATTATTCAACCATCAAGGAGAAGTTGTAGTTTCACCACAACTGGAGGGCCGAAGTTTGCCCTTCCCTGTTCTATTGTATGCCCTTTCTCTCCTCCCCCAGCTGCTACATATAAGGTTATATAGGGAGGTAAGTGGCGGAAGAGCTGGGCCAGCACAGAAAGAAATTAAGACACTACCAAAAGAGGAGAGGGCTATGACATGCAAGCACAGAGGGGGCTGTGCTAGGAAACTAAGTACTATCCTTGTCGCACTCCTTACCGATATGTCCCTTGTAGTGGGGGGTGCTCGCAGTGACCGCAGATGGCGCAATCCTGATGAAGGGACCCTTGTTTGGTCATATGACAAAAAACATCAATAAATGAAGCTTTTGCTATCTTAAAAGGATTGGTGTGCTGGTGACATTTCTACATGTGCTAGGAAACTGACTCTTCATGAAATAGTCACATTTGCTAGTAAGTTCTGAGGCACATTGCAAGTCAATTAAAATAATTAATGTGCAGAAAAAACACTGCAAGGAGGCATTTAAAATGCTTGCTTTTTCTGTGCTTGTACCTGCTTTGTTTTAACTTGGTGACAGGGTCTCTTTAAGCACTTTATGAGCAGAGAGTGGGGTAAGCTAAGCTAGGATTTTATTTTATTAAAGATACAGTGACCCCTTAGGGCAAGTACTCTGCTTTGTTTTCAGTCTATTTTCCTGTGCTGCCAGTATACATGATTATATTTATAGTACTATAGTAATCATGGACTAACAATTGTTCTCTGCAGAGAATGATCTGCATGTAGAATGTGTAATCTGGCAACACTTTTTTATAACTGACCTAACTTCTGATTCGTAACCACTCATCCCATATGTAAAATGCAGCATGGAGGGGCTGAGTGAAGGTGGCGGAGAAGGTGTATAAGTGTCTGACGGCTTCACCGAGCTCATAAAAGGACAACCGCCCAGCCTTATAATCCAGATAGATCACTAATCTCTGGCTGGAGCATTTGTCAGGTAACTGGATAGTTTTACTATCATGCATCACTGAGTATTTCTTATTACTGACCTTGCACAAACACCAAGACTTGTCATTGTTCCCAATGAAAGAGTGCTCCCCTTTCCTCTCTATACTGGCATAGGCCACCCCTATCATCCAATTTCCTGTCCTACTGGTCTCCACCTCCCAGAAATTCTGCCCCGATGAGAAGCCCCGGGTGCTAAAAACTTGGCAATCCTCAAACCTCTCAGGTGAATCTGGGTGTTGTTGGCTTTTTGTATAATAAGCCCTTTTCAGGTCATCTTCTATTTGGAGAAAATTGGAAACTGTGTTTCTATCCATCGACACATCAACCGCTTCCTGTATGTGGATCTCATTCTTTAAGCGTGATACCATGTTACTTAAACCTGAATGCAGAGTAAGTGAGATCAGATTCTTATCCAGATCACCAACATTGCAGAGAACGTTACCGTCCTTCCCAGTGTCCTGATTTTCTACCTCCTCGGGATGACAAAGGTCCATCGTTTCCGATTGCCGCTCCTTTAGGATGGCTAGAGGATCGGTGGCGTTGCACAGTTCTTCAATGTAGTGCATCTTCTTGGACAGCTCGTCCTTCTCGACTTCCTGCTGCTGGATCAAATCAGAGAAGGACAACATTATCCGCTTTTCCTGTCTATCAATCTCAGACAAGGCTCTCTTCTCCAGGTCATCCATCTCTTTCCTGAGGTCTCTGAAAAGGGCAGTAATCCTCCCGGTTTCACCAGTCAACTTTTTCTCCACTTTTTTCTTGTGTCTCAGCAGGGTTTGGGCTTTTCTCTCACCTTGCTCTCTCTTCGAGGTCAGTTCCTCTAGGATGGTCCTCAGTTTTATCCTTTTCTTTTCAGATGCATCATCTATCGATTCCACCGCGTGCCCGCCGTGTTCCCCAACCAAGCAACAGCTGACACAGATACAGGTAGAGTCCTCAGTGCAGTAATACTCCAGGATCTTTTTGTGGATGGAGCATTTCCTGTTCTCCAGGGAAGTGGTGGGATCCACTAACACATGTTCCAGTGACTTGCCGTGTTTTTTTAAGTGTTTGCCGCATAGAGAAGCTTCACACAGCAGACAGGTCTTAACGGCAGGAACGGAGAAGTCACAATAAGTACAGAAGATTCCGCTCTCCTCCTGAGCTGGCTGAGCGGAGTGAAAACGCTCAGCTATGTTATGGAGGGTTACGTTTCGGGACAACGCCGAGCGATCCTGAATCTTTTCCCTGCAGTCCGGACAGGAATAGCCTCCAGACGCCTCCTGTGTATCCAGCACACGGTCGATACAGGCTCGGCAAAAGTTGTGTCCGCACCTCAGAGTTACAGGATCCTTGTAAACATCAAGACAGATGGAGCAGTTCAGCTCTTCTCTCACATCTGCAGACGCCATTCTTGTAGTAATGCTGTAAGAAGGAAAGTGAAAGCTGAATCCGTTCTAGAAAATGCAGTGTGATTGGACCTCACCGCTGTTGATAATGGCTTGATTCTTTTTCTCCTGCTAAAGGGTGTGATCCAAAATGAAAGTTTTGTTTCTGAATCGTTTGACTGAAGCAAAATTCTAGGCAGATATAAAAGACACAAATGAATGCAGCTCTGTAAAAATTGTGACATGATCACATGCATTTTTGTTTACCGTATTTTTTGCTCCATAGGACGAAATTTTTTCCCCCCAAAAGGGGGGCAAAAATGTCTGTGCGTCTTATGGAGCGAATCCCTATCGCCCGACGCTTGGGACATGCAGTTTCGTGCACCGGGCGAGTAGTTTTTGTGTACATTCAGCCCTGTTCCGGACAAGCAGAGCTAAATGTACAGCGTGGGGCCGCCGCTCGTTTAATACAAGTGATCTAATCAGATCACTTGTATCAAATTGTGTCTGGAGCCCCCCCGCCATGGTTTTCAGGGTCCCCCACTCCTCTGGGGGACCCGTGACCACGGCATAGGAGCTCGCCATAGAGTCCGTAGGGCAGACGAAGAACGTCCATTGTTTGTCTGCTCTGTGTGATCACTGAGACAGGTGATGCTGTAATCACAGAGCCACCTGTCTCAGCTGTCACTAACTGCAGCGGTCACATAACCCCTGCGTCCTATGGTCTGGTGCGCCTTGTGGATCGCAAAATACGGTAAATACAGGCAGTGTAAGTACCTGAAAGTACCCAGCACACCCAGGCACCAGACCAGTGGCAAGGTGAAAGAGATGTGGGGGTCCGTCCGGCCGCCGACCGTCCAGCCGCCGCAGAGCAGCCTTTAAGCACCCGGCGAGGCAGCAGTCCCAGCACTATTCTCGCCCCTTGGTTCCGATCTGCTGCATCATCCCCTTGCCTGCTCTCTCTGCTCACAAGCCGCACGTCAGGCCAGGCAATCTCCTGCTGTCACATAAATATCCCACACATCGGAGTATTCACTCCCCCCTCCCCTCTTTTCACTGACCTCTCTAGCCTGGCAGCGCTGTGACTCATTCAGCAGCCTGCCACACACCCGTCCGTCCGTCCGTCCTACACATTAACCCCCCTCCTTGTACTGACACAGGTCAGATTACAGCCATCACACATACCTCCGTCCACGGCTCCTCTCCCCCTCTTTCTCCCCCTGCTCACCAGTTCTCCTTCCCAGCAGTGACAGCATCTGCAGTGCTTTTCTCTGCCATCACAGGATCCAGATTAAGGATATGTTCACACCAGATGCAGTGTGTTCCGGTCCGATTCTGACCGGAACGCACTGCATCAAATCTTGCACTGGGGCCCATTGTTCCATAGGTCCGCCACTGACCCCAAAATATCATCCTTTGGCAGTCCCTGTACAGCAGAGATCAGAATGAGGAAGGGAGAAGCATCACAAGGTGATAGTCAGCTCATGTTCTAGCAAGGAGCATGTCGACAGGAGAAGAGAGCCGAGTGACAGAGAGATACGCTGATTGGTGTGCTGCTTCTCCTTTCGCTGTCCAGTGGCCAGCCTGGGGGCAGGATGACAGACTGGGATTGTAGATTGTGGGTCGAATGAGGACTTGATGAAGTCTGAGGGCATCTAGTAGCAATCTCGCCTACAGTCACTTGCTAACCAGAGCGGGATCCCTCATTTGATGGAGGAGGAATGAGGCAATAGCTTATTCTGGAGAGGTAAAACAAACTGTGATACAGCATTCCCATCATGCAGTACTGCTGGCCTCCACCAGAGGGAGACTCGCCCAAGTTAAGTTGTTGGACACACAGGCAGATACAAATCTTTCATGCAATCTGGAGCTGCCAAGTGATCAACGCGCACACAGTTCCTCATGCTATCATGCGAGCTAGAATCCTTGTGCTATAATTTTTCCCACCGCCGGCAGACACCCACACAAACATCAGGCACATAACTTTGGGTAGCTTGCCACCACTGCAATTTGTCAGCTGACCAATATGGTAGGCAACCATACACTAAAGTTGCCATTCATCCCCGTCTGCTCCCGTTGATGATTATAAGTATAGCAACCACCCCTGTGTGCTACAGCAATTGAGGTAGTTGTCATTTCCTAACAATTAGAGAAACTTCCAGAATTTAACTAATTTGCCATAAATCTCTCAGTTTTGTTGGCTAGTTAGAGAAACTTCCAGGATTTAATAATATCCAGTATGTATCTACTAGCAGCTCTTTTTAGTAGAATCTCAAACGGAAGAAACAAAATAAACTAAAATACTAAATAAAAAAGCAGAAGAGGAGAAATCCATTCTCCTGAGGACACTAAGCGAAACTGGTAGGTGAGAGGAGCTATGTCCTTAAAGGAGAACTATGAGGTGAGTGCTTTTCACTCAGCCTCATAGTTCTAGCCGACCTGTGACAATGAGACTGTCACAGGTCGGCTCAGTAGATCGGGAAGTGAGCGCACGGTTTTTGCCCAAATGTTTATCAAGCCAGTATTTTTAGGAAAAAATAAACTAAATAAAAATTTAGTGCACAGAAACATAATAAAATACCCAATATTTTGGTAAAATATGAAAGACTGGGTCACGCCAGGTAAATAGACACCATACATGCCAAGCCTGAAAATTGTGTTCGCCTGTGAAGCCACAAAAAAAGTAAATACCCCAAATTTCACATAGGGAACATTTTACACGCTTTTACCACTCATCAGTTTAGTGCTAACAGTGATCAATGACCTTAGAATGATTGCTCTCACTCCGACGTTTGCGGCCATATGTAACATGTGTAGCGCAATTGTCGTTTTCACACATAGGCGCACCGACGCGTGTATGTGCACGTGAGGGGTGGGGGACTTGACATTTTTTTTTGCATTTTTTAATTTTTCTTTTATGTTACTTTAATTTTTATAACTTTTAAACACTTTTTTTTTGTCTTTTAACACTAACCCCATTGCTATTACATAGGGGGCTAACAAGCACTCTATGTAACAGCAGATAGGGTGTGACAGGTCCTCTTTATGGAGACATCAGGGGTCTTTCAGACCCCTAATGTCACCTAGGGACTCCAAAGAAGCTGAGAACTGCTTCCCCAGCTTCATTTTCTGGCTCTAAGAGCCGGAGACTGTGTACAGTGACACCGGAAGTGATGTAATACACATTACTTCCGGGGTCCAGTGATCAGAGGAGAGATCAGCGGGGGCACCGGAAGTGATGTAATGCACATCACTTCCGGGGTCCAGTGATCGGAAGAGAGATCAGCGGGGAAAACCGGAACTGATGTAATACACATCACTTCCGGGGTCCAGTGATCGGAGGAGAGTGGTAGGTTGTTCTTAAGGATGCTGGAACAACCTACCACACAAGTACCATCAAAAAGTGTGTTTAAGGCAAAGAATGATCACGTCAAATGTTTATTTAAATTATTCTTTTTAATTTTCTCTCTCTACTGTACTTTTCTATAAAATGTCTTGATTAATAAAAAACTATTCATGGCAGTATTCCTGAAAGGATTCCTGCTTTACAGAATTTTTCAGGAATACTACAAACATTTGCACAGTACTGTATTAATGTTTTGCCTATCTTCAGAAAACCTAAGATAATACACTGCCTGGCCAAAAAAAACTCTGTTTCGTTGGACCGCCTTTAGCTTTGATTTTGGCACACATTCGCCGTGGCATCATTTCGATAAGCTCACATTTATTTCCGGCCACAGTTGCATGAATATTTCACCGAGATCTTGTAGTGATGATGGGAGCGTCGGATCACTGTGTAAAGTCTTATCCAGCTCATCCCAAAGATTCTCAATGGAATTAAGGTCTGGACTCTGGCGGTCAATCCCTGTGTGACAATGATATCTCATGCTCGGTCAATCCCTGTGTGACAATGATATCTCATGCTCCCTGAACCACTCTTTCACAATCTGAGCCCGATGAATCCTGGCATTGTCATCTTGGAATACGCCCAATGTGCCATAAGGGTAGAAAAAATCCATTGATGGAAAAACCTGGTCATTCAGTATATTCAGGTAGACAGCTGACCTCATTTTTTGGACACATAACGTTGCTAAACCTAATCCACTGAATCAACCCCAGATCATAACACTGCCTGAAATCCACGAGGTGACCTTTTTTTTGGCCAGGCAGTGTATGTTGGAGAAAAACGTCCAATACTCACCACCCAGTCAGTGCTAACCAGTTGAATTTCTCATGCTGGAACATAAAATGGACTTTTACCAAAGCTGGCAAATGCACCATCATGTTTAATCTAAATTTTTGGGATTGAATACAATACTGACAAGTTAGCACCTATAATTATACACTAACAGAGCTACATCTATGGAGACCCCACTTGGAGCTTTTAGGCAGCACTATTATCCAGTGCCCCATGTTATGTACAGCAGGAGCATCAGAGACTTAATGCCATGCTCTCAAGACACCAGCAAGCTTTCACCCATTGGTCTCACTGCTCATCAAAGGAAGCCTGTTACCTCCTCATCATCTGCTAGTCCACTCCATTGCGACTCCTCCTACAGGGAACCAGACCCTGGAGGATTATTGTCTTCTCTCAGACCACAGGCTGTACACCTTGCTTGGGGCCTAACTTTTACCCCTAGATGACACCCACATCGCAAATTCTTTGATAGTGCCACTGGATATAAGAGACACACACATACTTTACTTCTTGCTGAGGAACTTTTATTTAGAACTTAACACAGAACACAACATCTTTAGCAGCAAATAAAACACTCACTTACATAAAAAAGGTTACTTTGTAAGTCTCATTAAAATGACAATATCGCCAAAAAAGGAGGGGGCCCCAGCAAAAGAAGAGAAATAATACTTACATGTCCTGGCACCCTATGTCTGATGTTCACTCTCTTCCAGTGCTATGCTGGCCAAAAAATCTTCAGCATTCAACACACTTCTGGTGTCAGAAGCCTCATCCCCTGTTGTGGTCCCATCTACCTGCATCTCCGTCACTACAGCTCTGCAGGGAAATAGTAGTGACCAGAGGGAGACTAGGTATCCAATAATCTTGGAAGCAGGTCTGATGCTGAAGCTCAGGTTTGAAGGTCCTTCCTCCAGTGTAGGTGTACAAAAGAGAGAAGATCAGTGGCACATGCAGCAGGACAGTTAAGATACATTCCTCTTTTTAAAACTTATTTTGGTGATACTGTCCTTTTACAGAGACTCTTGTGTAGGACTGCGACATAGAATCGGATGCATTGACTAAACTTAAAGAGCCCTATTGCTGTTTAAGTGCACAAAGTGGACTGGTTCACCGTCAGTATTAAAGTATTGTACATAGTGTAGCTTTCTACCTCTGCAGTTTTGTCCTTAGGCTCATGTCACACTTTTGATTCTGTTGCTGACAAGAACTCGCCAGCGAAAGTATTGCTGTTGAGGACACAGCAGGGCAATGATACACTTATGTGCTTGTGATACACTTAGGCTCATGTCACACTTTTGATCCTGTTGCTAAGGGCAGTGATACACCTATTTGCTTGCATGTGTTGCTCCCTTGCTAAAAAAAAAACAGAGCAATGCTCTCTCACTGGCAATGTACATTCTGCAGTATTACCATCAGCACTGACACATCCGGTAATGGAGCAACACATACAAACAGGAGAGTGCTCTCCCTGCACATTTTAGTGATTCTGTCACTGGCAAGTCCTTGTGACATGGGCCTTACTGTATATGTCACACATAACTACTAAAACAAAAATACCAATCAAAACACTGACAGAGCAGAGCCTTTTAGAGAACAGAAAAAGTGCAGACACTGGCAAAAAATGAGACGTAACAGAAACCAATAACAATATTCCCACAATTTCACTTATAACACAACTCATAAGGTTACAATGTCAGCAATGTGCTTCAGGATGTTTTCTCTTTCACTGCCCTGGATGGTATTATCAGCTCCTCTCTTCAGTAACAATTCAGCCAGCCTACAGGAGAAGAAACACCAAGCAGAGATGCCATTAGATGTGGGGATGAGAACTGCCGAAAGACAGATGGCAGCAGATGTGAGAACTGGGTCTTGCAACTGTATTTTGTCCACTAGAGTGTAAAATGCACATTTCTGGTGTACATTTAACCCCTTCGTGACGGGAGACTTTAATATAAAAAATTCTAAAAAAAAATAATAATAATCAAAACTTGTGAAAAAAGTGTTTTCTTCCTAGTTTTTCTGCCCATTTTTTTTATTCAAACTAAGTGAGGGGTTAGGTACACATATGTGATATAATTATATAGCCCTATCTGTCCTCTAAAAAACTATATATAATATGTGTGGGTACATTTAGTAAGAAAGTATATTACTGCCGTGGAAGAATCACATGGCAACAATGTAAAAATTGTGTCAGTCATTTATGAACAGAACCTGAAAACTAGCTCAGTCATGAAGGGGTTAAAAAAACAATTCAATGTTAAATGAGACATTCTACAGCCTAAGTCTCAATGCACTTTCTCTGCTAAATTACAGATTGGCATAACTTACGCCTGACGTCTGTCCTGCAAATCCAAGGCGTCATTAAGCTTTTTAAATATTTTGTATCGTTTGCGTCCTCTGATCTGGAAGAGAATGGCAGGCCATATCAAAAGGAGAGCATAAGAAATAAAGGATGGGCAAGCAATCACAGGTAAACCAGCTTACCTTGAGGGTGAAGACTTCCTCCTCTCTGGCATGGTGTTTTATGGAAAATAGGGGATGTAACACCGTAGGGAGGCGTGGAAAGGCTGAAAGGACAAGAAACATAAAGGTCTTCACCTAAAACAGAATTCTAACACAAAACTACAACAACACCCCTTTAACGTAATTCTGACCCCTTGTAGTTATCCCGACCACCTCTCTGCTTTTTATGAAAACTGAGATAATACTTGTACTGCTCACCTACCTACCTACCTACTAGGACAGGAATAGAGTTTACAAGGCTCCACCTCACTACCCCGCCTTAGTGTTTTCTGACTACAGAGGTGGACATGGTAGACCATTGAATATATGCCCTTCACACTAAAAGACTGGACAATAAGAAGCAGAAGGCTCAGACACTCCCTGCAAGACACATGATTCTCCATGGGAAGTCATCTCAGTAGTAGCTAACAGTAACTTCAGGAAACCATGTCCCCTAATGAACTACTGAAAAAAAAGGATTGGTGATGGTGATTACAAAGATCTTTCTTTCTCTCAGCATTGTTTGGGAGGAACCAACAAAACCAATTGGATGTCCTAAACCAGTCCAAAACAAGGGGAGGTCTAAATAACTTCACACCTCACAGGCAAATGCCAGTAGTTCCAGGTCGGGCTGATCATGTAGCCACTTACAAGCCCTTTTGGTCAAAGGAAGCCATGGCAGAGTCTGCCATGTCCATACAATGGAACTTAGTGAACATGTGTAGCAAGGACCAGCTGGCAATACTAAGTCTGATGCTGAAAAACTCCAGATGTTCCTACTACTCTAGTGGATGAGCAGTGACAAGGAAAGGTAAGCCAGTTGCTGAGAAAAATACCCAGAACTTCCAAGAATAGGCAGCATGTGACTTACTCCCCTCTCCTATCATGTGACGGTGCTGGCGATTGTCAGATTAACAGCATTGTCACATACGGGTGGTAAAAGCAAAAATCTTAAATAAATGTATATACATGCCAAAACTAACATAGCTTGTTTTATTCAGATTCAGTATTCTGGCATGCTGCTAGCAACTACACTTAAAGGAGAACTATGAGGGGAGTGATTTCCACTCATCCTCATAGTTAAAGCCGACCTGTGACAAAGAAGCTGTCACAGGTCAGCTCTATTGATCGGGAAGTGAGCAGAAACATGCCGCCGTCCGCTCACTTCCCGATCGTCTCCCTGCAGTGAGCGGTGACTGTCATCACCACTCCCCGCAGAGATTCCCCCCTCCTCTCTCCGATCGTGCAGCGATGAGTGGAGGAACAAACTAGGAGAGGGCAGGCACAGCTGGCTCTGCCTCTAGATAGGCAGGCCCAGCTGTCAATCAGCCTGCTGGGTGGATCAGGACAGTATTGTCAGGATCTGCCCCGACTGCGAGCAATAGCCCGCTATATACTGAGCTTTGGGTCACAGGAGGAGGTTAGAATATGTCGTCACATGGCCCTAAAGAGAACTATGGGGAAAAACACTTACCCCATAGTTCTCTTTTAAGAAAGGATAGCTGGATTTAGTATATACCAGTTACAACAGCAGCAGTTCAGCAACCCTCCTGTCCAATCAGGGAGTTTGAAGGCTGCATGCACTTAACACAACCTGTCTCTTGGGACAGGAAACACTTAGGTGGTGTAGCAGGGCAGAGTATTTTCAACGTTATTCTTCCTGTCGTAGTATGTAGGTTGGCAATCCCTCAGTCCTTAGGCTGTTGAGGAGTAGTAATGGGAACATGAGGCCCATTATAAGAATTAATCTACCCACTCCCTGCTGGTAAAGCATTGAACAAAGCACTCCGCTCAGCCATAAAAACATTCTATAGGACACGTTATTGCTGACTGAAGGGATAATTTAGCTGCTACACAAAGCAATCCACACCATTTAAATTGTTGGGGAAGTGGGTGATTTGTTCTAACTTTCCTCTTATTTCCATGGGCATTGGCTAATCCTAAAGTCACCAGCCAGCCACCTCACTCCAAACCTTGTAGTCTCACCCATCATTCTACTGTCTTTCATCTCCTTCTTCAAGACGTTCTCCCCCTCCATTTGGTGGTCTTTGCAAGGAAAATCGCCCATGCAGGCATGAAAGCGGTGTTGGTCCAGGATGCCACTGGAAGAGGGCAGACATGAAGGAATCAGAGCACATTAACAATGGATCCATAATTATCAAAGCCTGAACGTCAGGGAAAACACTAGATATATGCAACTTAATCACACACATGTGAATGGTTCTACATACTAACAGACTTGTACTTATATACAGCCAGTCCTGCCACACAGAAACCCTGTCAGACAGCACAGCCAGGAGGATGATACCACTGTTGAGAGCCTGCAGTTAATGTTGTCATCTCTCTGCAGGACTATGATCAAAATACTAATGAGATCTTCCCATTACTTCTCATGTAGCCTGCCTAAATCCATTCCCCAGTGGCAAAACATTTCAGGATAGCAGTAGCATACAATGTAATATATTCTGCATGGCTCTAGTGACAACCCACCTTCAGGCTGATTTCTGGCATGCGGGGGATTATGGGAAGATAAAGATATATTTCAAGAAGTTATATTAGCAGAGTTCACCAATGTATTACATTTGAAATGACTACATAGCAAGACTTAGAAGAGATTAGTTATATATGGCTAGATTTCCCCTTTTAACAGAGAGTGAAGCTGAAGGAATCTGCAAATCACAAATATGAACGTGGACTCAGTGGCATACAGCTATGGGAACTGGCCTGTCACCATAAACAGAGCATAATAGAGCTAAGATACATTTCCTGGACATAACCGTGCCCTACGCTCCCTACAGTGCTGATCATTTAACTCTATGCCTGCTGCAATGACACACCAGAGCGCCGAGTGAACAACACCAAGGCCTTTGGTCGTGTGATTGCCACCGGAGGGAGCCAGAGACAGCATTTTATCCAGGAAAGGTATTTCAGCCCTCTGAAAGTGTCTGCATCACTAGCTGAAACATTTGTTTAATAAGAGCTGCCTGTAAAGAAAATCATTTTACACACATCTGTCCGGCTGCTGATCTTTGCTCTTTTGTAAAGTCATGGGGGCTGAAGAATCTTCTGCATCCAACCAAGGACTTACGAACTATGAATCATGGGGCCTCATAGAAAAACTTTGATAGGGCCCCAAGCTACCTCTCTCTGTAGCAGCTAGCAGTGCCAACTGTGACAATACGTGTCATTGATCTTAACAAAAAATATGCCTAAATCAAGGAAAGGCAGAAGGAGCGCTATCAGCATAACCAGTATCCTACTAAGAAGCAGTGCTGTGGATAAAAGCTTTAGTAGCAATAATAACAACCATAATGATATCAGCAGTCCTATAAGGTTTTAGCTGAGGAGAAACTCTGGGATTTTTAACTGCATTTGGAATTCTGGTTTAATTCTACAATACATCTACACTACTAAGACAGCTAAGCAAATGATTCTTACTGCACAGAGAAGGATCTGTGACACTGATACTGAGGTCTGGCTTCATCCTTTCTATACTGCAAAATTATTTTTCCTTTATAGCCTCTCTAATGGGACCCCCTCCTACCAGCCTTGCGGGCTGCTACACTACTACATCCAACACTTTTAGGAGTGTTACAAGCCTGATCCCTCTCTGCATAAGTGGCGGGATAGACAAATGTTAGTTCCTTTCTTTACAGGCTGGTCCTATTTAAAATAAATCTAATATAGCAAAATATTTGTCTCTTACAAGGCGAGTACAGGTCATCATGGATACTCACTCCTTGGACTCTAGTGTGACGGTCATAATGAGCCGGCGGTTCATTTCCCCCAGACGGGTATTGTTTTGCATATCACTTGTGAGAACATTGGAGGTTTGGGATCCCACCTGGCATGGAATACACACGTCAGATTATTCACTACAACTACCTTCTCCTCCCAATATGGCATCTTCTCACCTGCGGCTCCTCATATGGCCCATTGGCACTGTGATTCCCATTTTCATCCTCTGTATAATGAGCCATGGAATTCTCTTCAATAAGGATCAGATGACTTTGACGGGTGAAGACTAAAAATAAAAAAAGAGACTTCATGCAGAGGAAGTGTATGTATAAAGTCATTCGCACTCCTCCAATAGAATTTCAAGTCAAAAACGGACTTGATTGCTATCACATCATATAGCTTTATGATGTGATAGCAATCGAGTCAATACACCATTTTTTACTTGAAATTCTATTGGAGTGCGAGTGACTTTATACATATACTTATCTTGGATTGCAGAGGCATCTGCAGTCACTTTGGCACCCACCCGACTATAAGGGTATTATTCAGTCAGGAGTGCGATAGGTACACTGGATTTTGGACAATATGCAGAGGAAGTCACATGACCTGATCTCCCATCAGGACCTAACATGGATGTTCTCAGAAACTTGTAAAGCTACTGATTAAAGTGGAACTCCAGCCAAACAGTTCTTGGATGGAGCAGGGAAGGCTAAATCAGACTTTTGTTTCTGTGTCCTGACTGGGGAGTTTTCCCCTCACTTCCTGACCCAAGGACACCTGAGGGTGTTGCTGTGCACTGAACTTACTGTGCCTGGTCTCAATGGAGAACCCACAAGGCCAGAGACCATGTTAGCAGGAATATATAGAACACTACAGAAATCAGTAGCAGAACACTTAGAAATGCCATGAGTATAACAAGGACCGAAAGAGAAATCTCTCCAGTGGGTATTGCACATATCCCATCGCACGTCTGACCATAGAATCCCAATATAATCCGTGGTGGGTGCTGCAGTGACAAATGGTTAGCGCTGTGAATACTGAAGAAAAAGAGAAGTCACCAGCACTGTAATCATGATAGCAATGCGTTTGCCTGATGAAGAGACCCTATGTGGTCCTGAAACATCATTTGCTTTGTGATAATGTGAACATTTGTCAATAAAAAGGCCTATTCCTATCATGATTGGAGTGCCAGTGGTAAACCCTGCACACTATGGGGTCACTCACCGTTATGAAACGCCACAGAACTCTTGTTGGAAGGGCGCCGGTTCACACCTTCTGCTATATGCTCGGGTTTCTTATACACCTTCATGGTCTGGGGCACCACAGAACCGGAGTAAGGGGAGCTCTTAACATGGATCAGAACTGGGGAGGTCTTAGATGTCTGGCAGAACAGCTTATTCAGCTCTGGGGAGCACTGCAAAAACAATGGGAAGAGATGAGCAAACACTGCCTAGACCTTAATCCACCTTTACACAAACAAGATCTATTTAACTCCATGACAGTCACATCACACAAGGGACCCAAGAGCTCACACTTGCAGAGCACCACCTGCCTTTAAAAGCATCGCTCCAGAGTGGCTGCAGAGAAAAAAAATATTTCCATAGAATTAAGACATACTGCAGAGTATGATTTCCTGGCAATATCCTGCAGAACATCATTCCTTACTCTCTGACTAGGGGAACAATGCAGAGCAATGGTCAATGTCTCTTTATTGCAATGTCTTATGTCTCAGTTTTATTGCAACGTTTGCTTGTCTTTCTGTGATCTGGGAGAGTGCTGCAGAGGTCTCCCCATCTCATATTCTGCAGGGAGCAGAAGTTTGTGCTCTGTATTCTTCTGCCAAAAAGTGGGGAGGAAATGCAAAATGGTGATGGAGCTCTTGGCTAGCTGAGGCATATTCGGTACATGTTCTGCACAGCACTGGTCCTCTCACATACTTACCTTACACATGACAGACTTGCTTGTCCCATCACGCTCAAACTCCAACTGCAGCTCCTGCTGCCCTGGATAATCCTCTGTAGCAGGGGCAGCAGATGCCTGTGAAGCAGTAACAGTACTACGCTCACCCTCCTGTAAGGTTGTTATATCAGTGGGCAGGGTGGAACCAGAATCCTGATTATGGAGACAAAATAGAAAAATAAGATGACAAGTAAGGACAATTAGGACAAGCGCAATTCATGTAATGATACCCTCCATCCCACAAGAACCACCCAGGAAACCCTTTACATGGCACAAGACAACAAAGTGGGTCACTTACTCCACATCCCACTTCTGGGAAATTGGAAGCGGGGACGGCTGGCAACCTGAGACATAAAAAAGATAAGACATTAATGAGGGATATAAGGAGCCAGGAAAGCAATATTCATACACCACACTGCTTTGCAGTCTCAAGATTGGTGCGAGGCTATCCCTCCTCCTGCAAGGTGACTGTCTGGGAAAGAAGGAGGCAATAAATGTGTCTTTTCTACTGCTGGGTGATACATTGGCAAAAATGAGCTGTACATTTGTCACTTCTTTTCTTTCAAAGTTATTATTGGTTTCCATTTTTTTTATATAGGAATAGTTCAAATAACATGTGCAGCACAGCAAATCATCAAATAATCCTCAATATCGACACTATACCCCACCCCTTTGTCACTCCTTCTACAGGGTGACAGAACAGAGCTGAGTCTATCCTTCTTACTGCCTGGTGACATAGTGATAGAAGGGAGCTACGGGTTTGTACTGCAGGATGAGACAGTGACAGAAGAGGACTATTAACTGTACCTGCTCCTGCTGGGTGACACAGTGACTGAAATGGCACTAAACTCAGGAGTTCAAGTACCCTAACTATGAACCAAAATGTAGCTTATTTGTGTATTACTCAATAGTTAGCGTACTTTAATGGATTTTTAAAATTTAACTCCTGAGTTTAGTGTCACTTTGAAGGGAGCTATAAGCCTGTCTTTCCTCGTGCTGGGTGACACATTGAGAGGAGGGGTCTATGAGTCTATCCATTCTCATGCAGGGTGACACATTGACAGGAGGTGTCTATGAGTCTGTGCCTCCTGCAGGGTGACACTTTGACAGGAGGGGTCTATGAGTCTATCCATTCTCCTGCAGGGTGACACATTGAGAGGAGGGGTCTATGAGTCTATCCATTCTCCTGCAGGGTGACACATTGAGAGGAGGGGTTTATGAGTCTGTGCCTCCTGCAGGGTGACACTTTGACAGGAGGGGTCTATGAGTCTATCCATTCTCCTGCAGGGTGACACATTGACAGGAGGTGTCTATAAGTCTGTGCCTCCTGCTGCTGGGTGACATAGTGATAGCAGACACAGAAGACGGCTATGAGTCTGTCCATTCTCTGGGAGGGTGACACAGAAAGTAGTGAGGTATGAGCTTGTCTCTTCTCTTACAGGTTACAGTGACAGAAAAGAGTTAGTTGTCTGTGCCTCCTCATGCAGGGTGACACAGAGACAAGATGGGGGTTATGAGTATGTTCCTCTAATTACAGGGTGGCACATGGACAGAATGGGACTATGAGCCTGTCCTTCCTCTTGTGGGGAGACATTAGTGTAATAGAGTATTAGCTGCAACACTTACAGACCCTGGTGATCCTCCTTCTCGGGGCTCACAGTTGGTTCCATGCTGCTGTCATTTGGGAGATCCATCAGTCGATGCAATCTGAGGAGGAGAAGACAGGAAGATGTAATATTCATACAATGGATAAGGGAGAAGGTACAGTATGTGGTTAGCAGAAGGTCTTCCAAAAAATAAAAGGGAGTATGAAATGGTGAGGAGCGACAGATTGGAGATATAGAAGTGTGTGTATTTTGTATTTTCCACACCAAGACAGTCCCTGGAATACTTGTGGAGTATCTATACCCAGCAACTAGCCAACCACTATATTATACCACAATGCTACACACAATCAGAGCTGAGGGGCACTAAGTTTAAGGCAGGCAGTGGTGAATATGTCCCATACAGAGCTGGAAACAGAGAGCTGCATGCACCGGAGGAAATGTTATGCCAGGGGACACACTGAGCCCAGCTTTACATACTGGCTGGCGGCCTGTGGTGTGGTTAATTGGTGAGAAGTATGTAGTTGGCTGATTGTCAGCAACGGTCACACATCAGTATAAGATCAAGTCTGGGCAGAGCTTGACGCATCCTTTGTTGCTGAGGTTACATGTACACGCTGCCACTGCCCCCCTGCCCCTAAGAGGGAAAACTAACAATACGTTTCCTGTGCATCCAAGCCATCACTCGTCAAAGTTATTCTGTCCCACGCTTAGGGGGAAAGCTCAGGCCACTCCACTCATCAACCTGTGTAACCAAGCCCTAAAGAGAACCTGTCAGCCTATGTAAATATTTGCAAGTCCTGCCCAAGTGCACACAATGCATGATGGCTGTGCTCACCTTTATCAGTCAGCCTCTGTGTGTCTCTCGAATTTAGTTTTAATTTGTTAATTAGGTCTAAATTCATGGCTAAGCTCCGCCGGCTGTCATCTCATCAACCAATGACTGTACCTTAGAGGGCACTGTGAGGGTTATTCACAAAGCTAGCCGAAGGATCAGCCGTGATCCTTCGGCTAGCTTCGGCCGCTGGAGCCCTTTGGTTCAGCGCGGTCACTCTGCGTAGCTGTGCACCCTGCTTGGCATTGCATCACAACGGGCTTACACACGACATGCATATT